AAGTGGGAGAAAGGAGAACAAACCGTTTCGTCTGATCGTCGGTCTCCGGAACGATATGATGGACAGGTTAGATTACATGGCATACAAACACACGGAAGAAATAAAAGTGTAAAACAAGGAAATTAGCACCCTAAGAACAGAAGTAACGAACAGGAATGAGATCATTATGAGGCAACAAAATGGAAAGATAAAAGAACATGAAACGAAAAAGCTGAGAAAAGAAACTAGTATGTTGAAATCGGACATAACGGACACCACTAAGACACAGACAAAGCGAAATGTAACTGACAACAATGACTCAATTACTAAGGAACTAAATGTAAAGGTAGCAGAGAACATTGAGCTTGGAACAATCGAATGGGATAATAAGGGTTGGCAACAGTGAACATGATGGTATAACAACAGAGAACAATAACACTTTAACCACAGACAGTTCCTCCGATGTTATCAATAACAGTACACTCTCAAACCCAGACATCGGCACAACGGACAGCTATCCTGACCGGGTGAAAAAAGGTGGTATCACGTCCCGTCGTAATAGCCCGGTCCCCCAGACGAGTCCACGGGAAAACAGGAAGACTAACACGCGCAAGGAACCAGACGAACAATCGAAATACGTGTTTCAGGGTGTTCAACGCAAGAAACGCACAAAACGTATACTAATGTTAAGAATTAAGGCTAACGGTTCATACAAAGGTGGTCGAAGAATCCGTTATTGGATATGCGGCCGACAATGACATTACGGTCACAAATGTACGCATTTTGAAATGCTGGGACAATTACAAAGAGCCTACATATATGGCGAGAATTAATGTTACAGAGAACGACTATGATGTAGCCATACAAAATGAATTCTGGCCGCCAGGTGTGCTAGTCCGCGAGTGGTTTGACCGATTCGACCAGGACGGACAACGCTCATCTGTAACAGCAAACCAACAAAACGATCGGGAATGGACGGGTATACAGGATGACAACTACTGGAAAGCAGGATTCGCGAGTGAAAGCGGCAACAACTACGATAGATATCAAGATGACTGGCTCAATGATTAAGTGTGTATCATACCTTATTGCTGTGTTTGTTCTTATCATTCTAGCTGCCATGATATTACAGAGCTGGAATATACGCGGTGTTATGTTTGGTACACCTTATTTATGTGAAACACTTAGTAATTCTGATATCAGTTTTCTTAGCAGAACACTGGTTAATGCCGGAGCAATTGGGCTTCCTTGATAGTATCGACAACGATTTCAAATATATCGGGAGATGTGGCGACAGGGTAGCAATAGAACCTGAAAATAGGAAAGGTCGTGGTTTTGGAGGGGTTGCTATGCTATGGCGTAAACATCTTAAGGTAACGCCTCTACTTCAAGATGGCAACGATAGGGTAATTGGTGTATATGTTAATATTGGAAATATGTCGTATTATATTATTGGTGTACTGATGCCGTCCACTCATTTACCTCTATGTGATAATAAAGATACCATGTGATATGTATGATAAATATGTTGAAAATGGATCAGTAATAGTAATAGTAATGGGAGACTTTAACGCTCATTTATCAAAAGAATTTGGTAGTAAAAACAGTGCTGAAGCTAACGAGAGAGGGCGAATTCTGCAGCAGTTTATGCGAGATCGATCTCTGATATCTGCTAATTCCCAAAACTGGTCTGATGGGCCAAATTACACTTACGTTTCTGGTGACGGTGGTAGGGTGTCTATGATTGATCATGTTCTGGTGCCGATATCTAAAATTGATCTTGTCGAATCGTGTCGTATATGCGATGACCAGTTTCTTAACGTGTCTGATCATCGACCTATACAACTAACATTACGCGTACAACTTTCTAAGCGTCATACTATAACTCCTGACTATTCTGTAAACTGGAAGAAGGTGACCGAGATGCACATCAATAAGTATAAACAATCACTTGACGCGATGATTGAAAATACATCTTTACAGTCAAGTGACATCGAAAATATAGTGAATTTGTTTAATAATGCAGCGAAATTAACGCTGCCTATTAAACAATATAAGCATTACTTAAAACCGTATTGGAATTCTCGTCAAGTTAAATCACTGCCTGCTAGGATGAGAACTCTCAGGTTGTTGTGGATAAGTGAAGGTCGACCCAGAGGTTTCGAGTTCGAATCTTATTCGGATTATAAGTCTGCTAAGAGAAGTTTTCGCAATGAACTAAATATAGCTCGGGAAGACTATGAGCGTGAACAATTTGCGGAATTAGAGTCATTAGCAGAGATAGATATTGGTACGTTTTACCAGGCCGTACGACGGAAGAGGTCAATAGGGAAAAATTCACATTCATGTGAACTTTTAGTAAACGGGAAAATCACGCGTGATTCGGATATTCTGAGAGAAGCGTGGTACGATCACTTTAGTAGACTAGCATGTCCCCTAAGTCAACCACACTTTGATGATAGCTTTAAGATCTATATTGAGAATGCCGCACGTAACATGCATATAGAAAGTTATAACAACTCTGATGGTATATGTGATCATCCAGTATCTTTGCCAGAAGTGAAGCGCGCTATTTCTAATATGAACTGTGGCAAAGCGGGGGGACATGATGGATTAGTATTAGAACATATAAAATATGCTAGTAACACTATGATGGAGATAATTGTACATATGTTTAATAACATTATCGAAAGCGAAAGCTATCCAGAACATTTTAAATATGGTATTGTGATAACTTTATTCAAGGGAGGGAAACGAGATAGATTATTAATGGATAATTACAGGGATATAACGTTAACACCCGTTTTACAGAAAATTTTAGAAAAGGTTCTGTTCTTTAGAGTTATAAAGAAATGCAATGAAATTAATTTCCCTCACAAATTGCAACAGGGGTTTAGAGAACAATGCGGTAGCATTACGGCTGCTTTCATTGTGAAAGAATCTATCTCTTATTATATAAAGAAGAGATCGAAATTATATGCAGCTTTTCTCGACAATCAAAAAGCGTTCAACACTGTATGGATCAAAGGGCTAATGTGTAAAGTGTATAAATTGGGATTCAATGGCAAATTTTGGAGAATTTTATGGAACTCGTTTATTGATGTTAAAGCATCAGTGCTTTTAGAAGGCAAGAGAAGTAAGACGTACACTATAGGACAGGGGGTAGGTCAAGGTGCATTTTCTCTGCTTTACATGATAGACGACCTTGCTAGTGAGTAAGACAATCAAGGTCTTGGACTTACGATAAAAGATATACACGTACCATGCGTGTTATTAGCGGACGACACATTAGTATTGTCAGCCTCTATAGGGCTACTTCAAAAAGAATTAGATATAGTATATACATACTCTACTCGTTGGCGTCTCAACTATAACTCCACAAAGGACTATAATGGTTAAATTTAATATAGAGTCATTTATCAATGACTACGTTCCTAATATATTCGTACCACCGATGTTATGCTGGAAACGTTTCATTAATAGATTTATATATGATTTTTATTACATAAGGTGGACAGATAAACTAAATACACGTGATGAACATAAGAGATATACCGCTATCCATAGTGATCCGGGAAAAAATCCATTATTGCAACTAAGCACTAAACAAAATTTCTCAACAACATGTATGGGATCTAGTAGAGTTATTTAAATACTCAATATCTTGTGAGAATGAATTGGTTATATGTAAGATATGTGAGAAAACAAGTAAAGATATTGTGTTTATACTTAAGCCGTGATAAAATGATGGATGGTGTTGTAAATGCTATAGAAGTATTGGCATATGTACAGTTTTCAGAACTTAAGCATTGAAGACCAGTGCAGCATTTTACTTGGCGATCATTCACATGTATATTTGACTGATATAGAGTGGGAAACACTAATGATAAATATGGCTGGAAAAATCAAAGGAATGGTATGTGAGATGGAGAGTTTTCTATAATTAACCTATCGATGTATATATAAGTGTACACGTATATATGTAAAAGATGTATGAGGAATAGGTACTGTAGTGAACATTTTGTATTATGAATTATATAATGCAATTATATGAATGTCAAATACGTCATTATTTAATACATTTACTTCTCAAAACTATGTTAATATAAATTAAGACACATTTTGTAAAACTGTTTTGACATATAAAATCTCCTAAAGGAGGAAGTAAAGAATGTCTGTCTGTCTGTCTGTCTGCTTACTACATATGTATGGTTGATATATGTAGTTTCCATTGAGATAAATCGCATTAACATGACGTCTTTGCAAAGATTCTAAAATGCAGACGTGAAGAGGTGAGTTTTTATGTCCCTCTTGAACTTGGCCAGGGTATTTGACTTCCTAATAGCAGATGGTAAGCTTTTCCACAACGTAGCCGAAACCCTCCCAAAGCATCTGTTTTCGTGGGTCACAGTACGAGATTTTGGGACACACAACAAAGATTCTGACTTCGACTTTAACGTAAGTTTGCCCGTCAGCAGTCGATATATAACGGGAGTCATGCTTATCGGAGAAGGCTTTAAATACCGAAACAACGGTTTGGAAGATGTGTGTTCTGAGGTAATGTGATAAATTAACTTCGAAAGGCTATAGACGAAGATCAATCAAACTTTAAACAAAATCACGGTTTCTTTTACTTTATACTTTTTTAAGAACAAACCGTGGAAGTGACAAAGAAACAACAAGGAGACTGATTGGCATAATCAAAACATTTATATTAATATAGAACAAGGAAATAACATACTGGTCAATGATATCATGAAGCTAATTACAGAAACACCTCGTAGTTTTGAACAACCTTAGCAGCCGTTATTTTGTTCGGATGTATTTGACACCAGAAATCATGATACTCTTTGGACACACAACATTCAACTCGAAATGTATCTAAACAGACGGAGAGAGCTGTGATATATAACTCACATATAGGTTAACGTACATGAAAAGCTAAAATAAACAGGGTTACGTCATAGACTAGTCAACTCATATCATCCGCTAGGAGGCGCGTACAGAGCTTTCGATTTTATCCGGAGCAGAACCCCTGAACTTTAAAGATGACAAGACAACATAACTTCTAATTCTCAGAACGTCAATCGGGGCCGTGAAGGGTGGGTAAAATACGTGTACAGGTAAGACTTTATGTTAAATCGACAAGCGTGACGAGCAATACCTTCGTTGAGTCCCGAGTTTCAATCGCTAAAAAGTCACTGATTTTGCACTTAACAGATTACACTCCAGGATCCAGACTGACGTGAGTGTTGAATATCATGATAGCGCAGATTATTTTAATACTTTGAACATTTCAATACGCTTTCTTTTATACTTAATATCGTTTTCTAATTTAAGCGCCAGATAACATTTCCCCTTATTTGTGTGTAGGAAGATTGTCACTTAGTCTTTGTAGATTAAACGTAGTATTACTGATTACCGCAGTATACGGTAATCAAATTTATTGAAGCCATTATGGAAGTTAAATGTTTGATAGCATAAGGTCACCAGAGTTGTCTTTCTTGATAAATCTGAAGTATAACAGGATGTTAGAGTTATCTTTCTTTGTATAGAAATCTACAGATAGTTTCCCATAATTCCATGTTATTGGGTGAATTTCCGGCATGTTTAGTCATATTTTGGGAGACAAGCCATGCACATGTGTGCACAACAAAAAATTTGAATCTTAGCGTCCAGTTTCTCTTTTACACACCAATGCCGAGAGGTAAGGGGTTAAGAAAGTGTGTCCCTGTCGCCGCCGCCAACAAAGCGAAAGGGAGGAAGGCGTGCTCCGATTGATAGCCAACCGGAGTCGGGAGAGGAACAATCCCATTACTGTGTTGGAGTTATTTGTTTAAGAATAATGGTCTTGAGATAAATGGTTTTGTATATATTATCAATGTGTTTGAAGTTGTTTACTTAAGTATACACACATGTATGTGTAGGACTATCCGGCTACTACTGTAGTAGTACGCTACATTTAAACTGTATACAATGCCTAACCTGTGACGTCTTATAAACACGAGGATTGGTTCACGCTTACACATATTCCGTTTGTTTTATTTACATTTTTCTGGATAAATCAATTAATTAATTGAAATGAATTACTTTGCTACCACATCTGTAATATGAATCTACAAAATAAGGAACATATATCTAGGAATCGATTACTTAACTTATGTTGTACCTTATAGTCGATCGTACGTAATGATTTAGGTAACGTGATGACGATCAGTAGTCTGTAGTCAAGAGGGCACAAAACATCTCCTGTAATTTACATTTGTGCATCATTAATGCACCTGAGTGTGAAAGTGAAGGACAGTGTAAGTTCTTTGATACCTCTCGTTAATAGAACTCAACAAATTCAGCCTCATTTTAATATTAAATCGACAAAGATGGGGTCAGTCATTCTTACAATTTCATGCTCATTCAATTTCATCTTGGATTTGACATGTCTTTCAAAAAACATGTATATTCGGAACGCCGCACGCCTTTTTTTTTTGGAGTAGAAAGCTCTCGTGACAAAAGAATGAAGACGCTTATTCAATTTTGTATGAAGATAAATATTTTTGTAAGAGTTTAAGACAAAGGTGGTGTTTTCAAGGTCGTTAATGAAAAATTAATGGGATAATCAGCCTTGCCGTAATACACTTGGGTGATCGACTTCACTATAAACTAAATGTAATGCCACGTATCGCTGATGTATGTTTACTATTCTTTTGAATACCGAATTTCCATACTAAGTTATTTAAACTAATCAAGAGATGGAAGGTGTTAATCAAATGGCTATTTTATGTTTTTCCTTCAGATGTCAATATCTATCACAAAAAATATGATATTTCAAGCAAACTCTTAAATACTGAATCAAATGCTGCATATAAATACCGTAGATTCGAAACATATCTACAGTATATATCCGTGAGCCATTCCTTAGTGGACAGTTATCAGTAAGCCATTCCTTAGTGGACTGTTATCAGTAAGCCATTCCTTTTGGTCGTCCCGCTTAGTGGAAAGTTATCAGTAAGCCATTCCTTTTGGTCGTCCCTATTAGTGGACAGTTATCAGTATGCCATTCCTTTTGGTTGTCCCGCTG